CCCTAACGCTGCGTTCAAAAGATTTTCTATCCCCTTTGAGATCTCTCGAAAGTTTTCACTGAGCAATACATTTTTAAACAGACCCCCTTGCCAAAGTGCCAGTTTACTTTGCCAATGGTATAAAGAATTACTGTTACCTAGGCCAGAAATATAAGTAGCAGCCCACGTATAATGCTCGACCGAAACTCAACTTTAACCGCTTATTCCTAGAGGAAGTTTTCATACTAGGTTACACGGATCCTCGACCGTACTCCTTTTGCCGAGCGGTTGGTACTTCTGGCGGTGCGGTCATCGATATAACACTTGACTAAATATTTAAATATTCAAGAGTCACATTTTCACGAAATTCCACTTTCCGCTTTTATTCTACGTGTCTGTTCTCTTTTTTTGCTCTTTCTATTTATAACCATACACGAATATATACAAAGCGTCGGATAAGTGCATTCTTATTTATTTCTCTGTGACACACAGTAGCTATCGATCTACGTACGAAGTGGAAATGTCCACACGCGCCAGACACCATACGAAACTCCTGGTGACACAACGAAATACATATTTTTTGTTTTCCCCCTCTTTGGGAACCCTGCCAAAAGCCTTTTCCAACGGATACGATTTTGACCCAAAAAGGCAGGCTAAATTAATAAATTATAGAACTTTTTCCTTGGCTCTCAGCCGAACAGCTTAAGCTTACGGGTTCCTGATATCTTCTCATTTTTAATCTATCATCCCTAGATACAAATACAAACAAATCATCGAATCAAATAATGCCCAAACAAAAATTATCTCAATATCCAAAAAAAAAATTTTCAAACTTTTCCCCTAGCTGCTCCCTACTGTTTCTTTCAAATTCAAAATATAAATTCATCGTCTCAAATGCCTAATCCATCTTAAGACTATCGAGGCCGAATTAACGCCGTCAATCAAAATTAGCCAAGTAGCTGTAATGCCAAGGCCCCTTACTCCCCTCTTCAACCCCCTAACCCCACGCCACTCATACCAGACACGAATTTGCCTTGGGGTTGAGCCACGTTACTAGAATATCCTTAGACTCTCTCAGATTTCACATCACCGAAATTACAATCGCGCCCTTGCACGGCAGGGCTATCGCGTTGCAGAGCTTTGACGTTTACACCGAAAGCTCTTTCGACTGGTAATTAGTCGAAAAGCCGTAGGGGAATTATCGTCTCGTACGATCGTGCCGCGCACGTTTCTATTCCGGCTCGCCATTTCGGCCCTACGCTGTATACAGATATATCACGTTATTCAAGAGACTCTATATATCCTTAATTAATTAATGCCCGACGAATAATAATTATCGAAATGAAAGATTATATCAGTGGCTTATTTATTGAAACGGTGATACCGAACCAGCTCGAGTTTCCCTGTTCGCTCGTTCATTCTCCTATTCGACCACCGAGCACCGATAGCATATCTAAACGTGACTCCCTAATTGATTCATAAATTAATTTGCTCCCACGAGCTCCTATTTACAGCTTTTAATTACACTCCGTCCTACGATACATTTTTCTTTTATTTTCTACAAGCACACGAGGATCATCCACCGATCTACTTTCACTACTGTCACAACAACCTATATTTTATCTTATCAAATTCTCTAGCGTCACTCGAAGTATTCTTGATATAAAAACAAATAGTGAAAAACGTCATTTATTTAATTGCCTTAGATGCCTTCGTCAGTCTATTCAGATTTTTAAAAAGTCTATTAAAATCCAGTTCATTTCAAGAGTCGTCCAGGTTTGGTATTCGACGCCGACGCTCGGGCCGTCCCGACGCCCGTATATACGACTCTACGGGTATCAGCTTCGCAAATGTGACAACTCTCTTTGTGCTTCGTACGTTCTCGATATTAGAGCCGACAATGGGATTGCGATGATCAGTCGCGCACACGACTATCCCTTCCCCCGCTACTTTCATGCTGCCGATAATTATGTGCCAATTAAATTTAACGACTGTCCATTATTCCGGTCTGTGAACGGGTATAGCATTGCACCAGCAGGGAGTGCATCGCATCGGCAACAACGAGATCGAAATCCAATTACTTTTTAATATTGTTTGGACCTGGAATCGAGTAGGTACCGCCATATGCTGGGGTGGCGAAGGAGACGCACGGGAACGTGGAGCAAATAAACGCTGCTATGCCGCTGTTAGGACCTTCTTGTTATACCCTTAGAAAATAGTAAAGGGGTTACAAACCCTTTTCAGCAAAAACATTTGATTAGACACCGACTCCATCCCGCGAACCAATCTCGAGAATTCGCTCCTATTTGGTGCAACGACGAAAATCGATAATATCTGGTGGTCACGAAAATATCCATTTTATATATATATATATATATATATATATATATATCTGTCTTCCACAGCATCCAAAAATATTTTTGACCTGGATTAATCGATAGGGTGGAATCAATATTTTTTTTAAATCCTATCCGTCCTTTTGGTCTTATAGACAAAATTATCAAAGTTCCAACCGCACCTTGAACTGTTCTATGATCATTGCTTCAGTCGCTTCCACCACGTGGGTGCAGTTTTCCAGTTGCACAATGCCAGCCGGGAGAAGTGGGATCGATTTTAAAATGTAATTATCGTTGCAATGCTAATGAAAGAAATTCCACGATGCAGGTGTAATCGTGTAGGTACAACGAGATAGTGGATACGCCCAGCGGACGCACCTTGCATAACTCCCTAGCTATTCCTCTTTTTTACCCCGTATTTCGCAAACGTGAAATTTCGCGAATTATTATAAATTCACTCGGTATCCTTATCGCTGTGAAAATACCCAAGATTCTCCAGCGATTCGGCAGCCGAATAACATTGTCAACTTAGAAGTACAGTCGAAGCAGCAATCTTGATCATTTCAACAATATAAGACCACCATATGGATACACTACTACATTATTAGCTTTACTCAGCAGCAATTTCACATCCGTATATCTATACGCAATTTACTCGACTTCTCTCTTCCCCAGAATCGATCCGCGATACCTATAGTACATATACCCTAACTCCATGCTGGCGGAAACTTGTGTGGCGACTTTTCCGTCCGGCGGGCAAATCGATTTTAACGGAATGACAAATATTTGAGAAGCGGACTTTATTGCTGGAGAAACGTCTTGCTGGAGTCGTAGGTTAGTAGAGGAGAAAGGGTGCAAAGAGTGTGGGGGGGAGGGGGGAGAAGGAAAATAAGTAGAACAAAGACGCAGAAAGTGTATAGAGTTCAGAGTATAGGAATGGATATACCATTATATATACAGTCAACAGAGCCCATGTGCACAGCATCCAAAAAGTGGTTCCGCTTTGATATAGCCAAAATAATAAAGATAAAAGGAAAGGGGATGGGCCTGGGTAGACGTGCCTGGCGAAGGAATTCCTCTTGGGTCACCCTCTAATCAAATGTCGGCCACCCCCAAAAACCTCGTGTTGCTGCCCGGAGGGAAAGAATTTAGTAAGAGAGCCTCGTACGAGTTCTGCATGAGAAACGTGCTCTCTCCTTTTGCTTGTTTTTTTCTTTTTTCTTTTTTTCACTTCCTGTTTCGTCCCCTTTTCGCTCTCCCTCGCTCTCCCTTATACACCAAGCTAGTCTAATCTTCGGTATATAACGAGTTCCTCTGTAAGTTATATATATATAAATTTACGAACATCAGACTCGCAAGGGTAGCAACAGTAGCGATAGGGTTGCTGACGGAAGCTTCCTCATGGGGTGAGTGCTAGGAATGTTCGCAAGGGAGAGCACCAACACAGAGTGACCACTAAACACCTAACAACCAACAACAGCAGCCAACATCGAACACCGATAAACCAACGAAACTAAACCAACCACAAGTCACATTGTAACGTAACTCAGCGAACAGTGAAGACATAATTTAACAATGCAGAAGACATACGGAACAGTAACGTGTAACAAAGAAATACATACGTGCACACGAAGAATGCCAATGCCACCGGTTACGGGGAGGATTATTGTAAAAAAAAAATTTGTCCAAGACATTAAATTCTTCTCGCCGAACCGGTAGCAATGACCCCACCTTCTGCGTGCTTCCGTTTTCTTTTTTTCTTTATTTCACTTCTTCGTTACACAATAATATTCGAGTATCCATGAGAGGGGTGGGTTTTGGGGTTAGGTTCACTTAACGCTCGCAACATCGAGGAGTAATAACTGTGAGGCAGGAAACGTAAAAAAAAAATAAATAAAAAAAATGTACAACTGAACAAGGTAGACACGTTGAGAGACACCGATTAGGGGTAGCTGACGTACCACATCGAGTACGTTGATAACGTGGTTCACGCGGACGACTAGAAGTGGTAGTTGTTGTTACATTGTGTCTTGTGGTCGTGGCAAGAAGAAGAAGAAGAGACGGAGGAGGTGTGCGGCGTCCCCGGCCAGCCGGTCGCCCGTCACACCCTGAAACAGAATAACATTGTCACTCCCATCAAAGTAATTGCGAGTGCGCCCCAAGGTCTCCTAAGCATTTTGCAGGTTCATCCCCACTGACAAATTCAGGAACCACCTTTAAATTTTATTATAAATTTTTTACTTCCACTCCTTACGTACTGGCTGTCCGAGGTCTCCGTCCTGAGAAATACCAATCAGACGACCTATATATGTACACCACGGATAGGAAGGAAGGTAAAGGAGAGAGACCGGACTTCCGTATTGGCAAAGGAAGATCGTAGATTTCCTGAAGCGTGTCGGTCGTCCCGCTGGCTACGTTCACGTCCAATAGGAAAACCCAAGGTACGTGGATACGAGGGTACCAACCGGGACTTTAACATCGAGTACACTCCTTTCGAATCAATAGGTCCACTTGGGGCCGCTTTGAAAAGTAGTGGACATGGTCCAACAAACCGGCGGCCGTCCGGTCGAGTATAACGGAAAGAAATAAAAGGAAGGATGGAGAGGGATGATTTCATGTAAATTTCATCGGGGTGGGGGGAGAGGGGGGCGTAAGAAATAAGATTGAAAGAAACTCCGAGAAAAATCTTTTGACAGGCTAATAAAGAACAGAGGACGAAAGACTGTACTGCGACTAATACAGTCTTCATCCCTCAGGATACCATAGGTACCTACGTATGCAATCAGCTTGTACTGGAACCCTTGCTGGACAGCCGCGTCTGGTCGTAAAAATTTTGGCCATAAGTCTAATTAAAGCTGCAGTTTATTCTCAAGGAGAAATAATTGTAAGTGGACGTTACGAGGGTCCCGTTTCATGCTTCAGCTTCAGATAGCAAAAGGTAGCGATACTAAAGGACAGTATAGCCTATAATACGTGGGGATAACATCATATGCCTTTAAGGCACATGTACACGAGGGAAAACGTCTGGTTTATTTAACCTGAAAGCCTTTTACAACCTATACTGACTATAACAACAGCCCACAGCAGTCCTACCAGCACGACCCTTGCTTCTTGTACAATTTTCAAAGTCGTTAGGTGTCTCATCAAGAATTTACAAACGATAAAAAAAAAATCCAGTATATCTATAACATGACTATCTATGCTATATAATTTGATACATGATGACTTGCATATTAATAATATCATTCGCAAGCATCCTCCCCGAAATAATCTTGCCGAAACAAATAGCCGCGCGGCCGTATTACTTTACAGGGACGCCATGGGAAAATAGGTTCGCCACCGCGGAGTAGCGGCTCGCGAATGCATGGAAATGAATAGGCGGAAATATTACGTGTAGCCAGCTAGCTCTAGCTACACTGTACGTATATATGCAAATATATATAAATATATATATATAGTGTCTCCCTCTGCGCACACGGCGTTATGAAGTTCACTTTGTATGCAGGCCCCGCAGACCGAGCGGGAAAGTTCTACCTGACTGTTAGTTACATCCTCCTTAGCTCTCTCTACCGTATACTATATACGTATATAAAACGTACACCCCAACCCGCCGGCCGAAAACTCGACTAGCGAGTTAAGCTTCGGCGCAGTGAAATTTCCGAGAAATTCCCAAAGCTCTGATGCATCTTGAGTCCCAGTGGCATTTGACAAAGTTTCGAGTCCAGTTATGGCTGCAATAGAGAATGCGTGTCTTAGGGGATGGGAAACGAGAATTATTGTGTTAAATAAAAATATTATAATTTTACAAAAATCTTTGTGTCCCACGCGGTTCCCATTTTTCTGTGGAATAACTGGAGACAGGTTTAAAGCAATGGTACATGTGATGTATATGGTATAAATATATATACTATACACGTCACAAATAGAACCCCTGGGATTACGTCACGGAACTCGGGCGTCGGGGGTTGACGCGGTAATACTGGTTATCATCGCGCTGATAGCACCCA